CACAAGGTTACTCCAAATGGATCAGAGACCTAAATGTAAAACCTCAAACCATAAGAACCTTAGAAAAGGAAGGAAATACTCTCATGGAAATCGGAACTGGCATCCAATTTCTGTACAAAACCCGAAACCCACAGGACTTAAGAGAGAAGATAGACAAATGGGACCTTATTAAACTGACAAGCTTCTGCAAAGCCAAAGAAACCATCAAGAGAGCAGGGAGACAGCCCACAGACTGGGAAAAAGTATTTGCCAACTCTAGGTCTGACAAAGGCTTAACATCCTGGATCTACAAGGAACTGAAGCGTACTGAAAAGAAGAAAACAAACAACCCCATTATAAAATGGGCAAAAGATATGAACAGACACTTCAAAAAAAGAAGACATTCGAGCAGCCAACAAACACATGAAGAAATGCTCAACCTCACTAATCATCAGGGAGATGAAATCAAAACCATACTGAGATACCACCTCACTCCAGTCAGAATGGCAATTATCAACAACTCAAAAAATAACAGCTGCTGGAGAGGGTGTGGTGAAAAGGGAACACTTCTACACTGTTGGTGGGAGTGTAAACTAGTGCAACCTCTGTGGAAAGCAGTGTGGCCATTCCTAAAAGCTCTAAAAATTGACCTTCCATATGACCCTGCAATCCCCCTACTGGGAATATACCCTGAAGAACACAAATCACTCTATAAAAAAGATACCTGCACACATATGTTTATCGCAGCATTGTTCACAATAGCAAGAACCTGGAAACAACCATGCTGCCCATCAAAAGAGGACTGGATTAAAAAAATGTGGTACATATACACGATGGAGTACTACGCAGCCATAAAAAAGAACAAAATCATGAATTTCTTTGCAACCTGGATGGAACTAGAGTCTATAATACTGAGTGACCTCTCACAGAAACAAAGATCCGAATATCACATGTTCTCACTCATATAATGAACCTTGAACATCCAATGCAATACTATAAGAAAATGACTGACGGTACTGGGAAACTATGGGGGGGAGGGGGATGGGATTAACAGTAGCAAATATCTGTCGGGGGATGGGAAAACACCTGTTATCAACAGGGTGCCTGAATGAAACGTAATTGTACACCTAACCCTTAACTGTACCCCACAAAACCATAATAAAAAATACTGATTAATGAAAAAAAAAAAGATTAATCCATGTTGTAGCATGTATAGGAATTTCCTTTTTTTTTAGATTAGAAAATAAAGTTTATTTAGAAAGTAATTAGAGAGAGAGAGGGAGGAGAGGAGATTCACCTTCCCAAGGCAGGAAAGGGGGCCAAAGCCAGGAAACGTGGCAATGGCCATATCTCCAAGAGCACATGGCCACACCGGAGTCTAGTAAGGCCATGGCCAGGAATTTCCTTCTTAAGGCTGAATAATATTCCATTGTGTGTATATACCATATTTTCTGTTGTTATTTTTTTTTAAGAGGCGGAGTCTTGCTGTGCTGCACAGGCTGGTGGTATGCAGTGACTGCTCACAGTTGCAGTCACAGCACACTGTAGCCTCAAACTCCGGGACTCAAGCCACCCTCCTGCAGCAGCCTTCTGAGTATCTGGGACTACGTGCTTTCATTCATTCGTCAGTGGACACGGGTTATTTCCAGCTCTTACCCATTGTGAATAATGCTGCTGTAGACATGGGGTACAAGTACCTGTTTGATATCCTGTTTTCAGTTCCTTTGGGTATATAACCCAGAAGTGGAATTGCTAGATCATGTGGTAATTCTATGTTTAATTTTGTGAGAGCTTATCACTTTTTGTATGTAAAAGTTAGAGCTCTTAAGTCTGGTCATGCATGAATATAGAAAAGATGGCCGGGCACAGTGGCTCACGCCTATAATTCCAGCCCTTTGGGAGACTGAGGTGAGAGGATTGCCTGAGCCCACGGGTTTGAGACCAGCCTGGGCAACTTGGCAAGATCCTGTCTCTACAATTAATCAAAAAATTAGCTGGGCTTGGTGGCACATGCCTGTAGTTCCAGCTACTCGGGAGACTGAGGCGTGAGGATCACCTGAGCCCAGCAGGTCTAGGCTGTGGTGGCTGTGAGTGTGCCACTGCACTTCATCCTGGGCGACAGAGCGAGACTCTGACTCAAAAAAAAAAAGAAAAGAAAAGAAACATAGTTACAAAAATCAGTGAAACATTTTTTTTTGTTATAAAGCTGTAGGATCTATTTTGCTTTTAAAGGTAGATACAGAGGGCCTGTTCTAGTTGCTGTGGATGAACTATTGCAAGTCACCTTTGGAGGAATTGCATCAGAGGATGGAGTCTTCATAGGGCAGCTCTCCATGCTGCAGGCACACATGGTCTGTGCTACAGCCAGCTCAAGGGAGTACCCTGTGCTGCACTGCTGCAGGAGGGGTGCTGGTTCCCCTATTTGTCACTTAAGATGATGCTTGACACTTTTGGGTGACTAATCAAACAGTGTTCTTAGAATCTTAAGGCTTTTGACATAGAGGACTATGTTCTTGGGGGTGTAAAGTGTGAATTGAGAACTCCTTATCTTCAGGGTGTGAGACTTTGGATCCTGAGTGTGGAACACATCTTGTAATGTATTGTCACTGGGCTCTTTATTTGCTGGAAAGCAGAAGCTATCATATTTTTGTTCTTTGCCAAAACATATTGGTATTATAAACAAAAGAGCCCAGACATTGCTGGTAAACACTGTACATGTGTTTACTGGTTTTGCATCCTGACAGTATAAGTGTTGGGTTAGTGTTTATGACTGTCTAAAGGCGGGGTTGGGCAGGACTGGGGGGCTCCCTGGTGCCCCTTTCTGCTTCTTACGGACAGATTGAAGCAGTGGCTTCATGTACCCCTTACAAGAATTGTGACAAACTCTGTATCTCTCTTATAAGTTGACATCTGTATTTTTATATAAATACAACCAGTTGTAGAACGTTATTTGCCATCCTGAGTATTGTCATTTCAAAATAAAAACTATTGCATCACTAATTTAAGTATGTCCAGGAAATCTAGGTATAATGATTTCATATCTACCATCCTCCATTAAAAATTTTATAGGCGAGTTTTTCTTTCATAGGAATTTTACCCTTCCTTTTTCCTTGAGCCTATCTATGTTTCAATTTACTTTTCCCTGATAATTCTATCCTAATATAATGTGTTTCTGTGCCTAAGAATCTTTTATTAATCTCTCTATGTGTATCTACAACAAAAAAAGTGTATGAATGGAAACGTTAACTTTTACATTTTGTATGCTAATTTTTTTTTTTTTTTTTGTGAGTTGGAGTCTCACTCTGTCACCCAGGCAGGAGTGCAGTAGCATGCTTATGGCCACTGCAGTCTTGACCTGCTAGGCTCAGGAGATCCTTCCTCCTCAACCTTGCAACTAACTGGAACTACAGGCATGCGCTACCACACCAGCTAATTTTTTGTTTTATTGTGGAAACAAGGTATCACCAAGTTGCCCAGGCTGGTCTCGAACCCTTGAACTCAGGCAATCCTCTCACCTCGGCCTCCCAAAGTGCTGGGACTACAGGCTTGAGCCATTGAGCCCGGCCAAGGTGCTAATTATTAAAAAGTTTTTTTAGATTGGCTTTAAAAATATTGATACAGAGTTGACCAAAACAACATGAAATAGCATTTTATTGAAATTTATCTCTTACAGAGGAAAATTATTCTACCCAGTAGAGCCAGATTGCTGGGCCCACCCTTGCTCAGCTTCATGAGTCCTCGGATAGATTACTTACTGGAATACTGCTGTTTCTTCACCTATAAAGGAAGGTTGATAATAACACTATGGTTTGTTATGAAAAGCATTTAAAACAGTGCCCAACAATTCTCAATACATATCAATAAAAAAAAAAAGAAATTTAGCTCTTAATAAGATGGATTTCTAGATTGAGTTATCTTTTGGTGAGTTGTGCTTTTGCTTAGAATAGGCAAGGTTCTGCCTCAATACTATTTTTTATTTTTAGCATGTGCTAGGAAAAACCTTTTTCATGTAATAAGTTGCTGGGAATGGTAGGGATTTTGGTTTAGTAATGAATGCTGTTTGAACTTTTTCCAAATTTGCTCCAGATGACCATGTGCTCTGTCATCAGGCAGCTTCAGGGCATATTTCCTGGCTTTGACCCCCATCATCTACCTATCTCTCTCTGTCTCTCCCTCTCTTCCTCCCTCCCCTCCTCCCGCTTTCTAATGTAGTTTTTAAATAAACTATATTTCCTAATCTAAAAAAACCCCAAAAAGTAGGAGAAAGTGCTGTTGTCAGAGAGGACATGGAAAGCAGATAACCCTTTCTTAGAGCTTTAGCAGGCTGAGTCTCCAGAAACTTACACTCTTGAAGCACCCTGAGGCCTGAGGACCACTTGCATGGTCTCTGAGTAGCCCTGGATGATCTGCGCATGCTTTAACTTGACCACTATTTTATACACATGTATGCACATGCACATATGCACACATACACTCATGCACAAATGCAGATGTGTATATTTACATATATGCATGGTTGTACATGTCCATGTTTATGCATGCACACTGACACACATGTATGCATGCTTAAACACGCACACATGCACTTACATACACTCATCACACAATCAAATGTATGCACACTTACATATACGCAAATATACTCTAAGTTTATTTTAGTTGCTCCTCAGCTGTGAACTCTTTTTCATGGAATATTATGGCAAAATATTATAAAGGATAACACGGAGTTTATATTTGTCTTAATTTTATCTATCCTTGAAGTTCACAGGAGTTTATTGGAAAATTAGCAACATATACATCATTTTAGGGAATGGAAAATGAGGCAGAATAAGTCAGGAAGTTCATCGTAACATCATAAGCAAGTAGAATAAATTGTTAATACCTTCACCAGTAATACACTTTCCCTAATGGAAATAAATTATTTGTATAAATAGCTCTTGATGTTTGTATATTATTTAGTTATAACAAGTCACAACTTTTTTTTTTACATACAGCACTTTAATGCTAGTACTGAAAATATTTTTTCTGACATTGTTTCTAGTAATTGTAATTTACTTCAAAAACACACAGCTAGGTCTAATAGAAAAACAGTTAAAATGATTGGTTCTAATACTAAAATATGTATAAGAAAAGTATTTGTAAAAGATCTCTTATGAGATTCCTTAGACTTCAAAGTTACTTTCTAATTTTCATTTCATCTGACATTTTACAAAAATGAAAGCCAAAGTTTAACTCATCAGTCTCAGAGTGTTATGAGTCATTTAGATGTTTTTGCAACCAAAAGTAGGAGTACCTTTTAATATTCATGTTTAATATGTGCAAAACCTGAAGTGAATTGCAGCTTTTTTTTTTTTGAGAAGAAAGAAAGCTGCATTTGTAAAATTTGACAAGTTAAAAAGAGTTAGTGTCACCTCAGACGTGGTGCTGCTCTATATAGTGGCAGGCGTGCGGCCTGGCTCTGTGAGCACACGTGGGAGCCAGGTGTTAGGACACGCGGGTTCTTTTTCGTAGTGTGAACACTCTTGCTGTGTTGTGTGGCTTCATTTTCTTAGCTCCTTGCTGGGATTTTCCTGCATCCCTTTGACTTGTCCTCTTTTGTCCTTTTGGTCTGAGATCACACTGAGCCTCCTGGCCTGCGGAACCGAGTGTAGGTGCGCCTTGCTGACAGGTGGGCTCCTGGGCCACAGTCTCCCCATCGCCCACCCGGACGTTCCCTGGGCTGTAGGCTGCCAGTTGGCACAGGGCTACAGCTGCCGTCTGCTTCTGCTCCTCACTACTGTCCACAACACGTGTGTCTGGGGGTCTTCCTGCTGGGGCTCGTCGATGGAGCCTCGTCAATGTCAAGGCCGGCTTGCTTTGTCTCTGTGTAGCTTGGCCCATCTCTGCAACTTTCTGTCTCCGTTTTTTGAGCAGCAGCAGCAGTAGCAGCAGCAGCAGCAGCAGCAGCAACAGCAGCAGCAGCAGCAGCAGATTCTACGCCTTGTGGTTGATTGGGGAAGGCAGGCCTTGTAACCTGGATGTTGCAGGGGTCTTTCACTGAGAGATTGAGAGGCAGGTCCTGTAGCTCTGAGAAGCCTGGGGTTGCCTCCTGGGAGCTGCCTTGATACACAGGTCCATGAGTGGCCACTGGTTTTGTCTCTGATTTCTTGGAGAGGTTGAGGGGGCCTATCCTGGAGCTGTCCTCTGGACTGGAGGGCGCAGCCTCCGTGATGAGACAGGCACTTCCTCTCTGAGATGGAGGGTCTCCATTCACTGCATCAAGACTAGAAGAAGCCAAGAGAAGGTTTAGTAGGCGCTTACTTAGAAAATTGACTATGTAAACCATTGTAAACAAGTATAAACCTGGCTAATTGAGCCCAACCAAAAACATTACCTTGGAGGTTTTGAAAATGAAATTTTCTTACCTTTTTGGAGATTCTGTTCTGTTTTCAGGGGTCTGGGCAAGGGGGCCTTCCATACTTTTCTTGACAGGCTTGAATGCTGTGAGGCCTTGTTCTGGCTGGTGGAGTCTTCCCAGGGCACCTGAGGCCGCCTTATTGGAGAGGTCACATAGGCCATCAAGGGTCTGGCTCATTTGCATGAAGTTGGTGGGGCTTGGCCTCCCTGGGGAGCCTGTGGCTGCGCTGCCTGCCCGAGGGCTCATTTTGGCCCCTTCTGTGTCCCTCTGCTCAGTTTTGGAGCGGTCTTTAGCCTCAGGAGTTAGACTTTCTTTTTCAAACTCTATGTGTTTTTTGTGGGAGTTTGAAGGGTTTAGCTTAGAAGGACTTGAGGCTGGATAGACCAGGGTGGCTTCTTCAAGTAATTGAGAGTTCTGGTCTCGTGCGAGACCAGTGACAGGTGGGAGTCTGAGACCATAGGAGGAAAATGCAGACTCTGGCCTGTAAAATCCATAATGAATTGGCAGATTTGAGTGGTATTGCTGGAAAAATCTGTAATGATCATATGTTGATGGAGATGGATTCAAGTGTTTAGGAATGGGCCCCGGGTGAGGCAGGAAGTGTCTTTGGTCTTGGGCTCCATAGACTGACAGCAGGGGAGTGTCACACTCAGGTGGACTCCCGGCCAGCAGGTAGGGTGAGTAGATGGTGGCCAGCCCGTGTTCTGTGTAGAAGTGAGGTGGGTACTCTGAGACTGTAGGGTGCATGTAGGGGGAAATGGCCCCGAACCCCTTTGTAGATGAGATTTTATGTGGAAACTCTGGGGGCAGGAAAGGTGAGCCGGCCTTCCAGGAGTAGCCAGGAGCATGGAATGCAGACTTGGTGTGGAAGGCTGTGGCCTTGGTGGTAGGGTTGGTGAATGCCAGGGCTTCAGGTGCCTCGGTGTCGCCTGGCCCTTTCAGTCTGTGCTCTCCAACTGGAACAAATGCGGAAGGTCGGACCACGCCTTCCAGAACAGGCTGGGAGTTGAGGGTGGCTTCTGGAGCTGGGCTCGTGGGTGCTGTTTCCTTATGGAGAACTGGCTTCTGTCCTGGGCACTTGTGGGCCCCCCGAGCTCGCAGCTCCAGGTTTTCCTTGGCATCTTCCTTGGCAAAGCTATGTTGAAGCTTCGAGTCAAAGCTGCAGAGTCCATTGGTAACAGATTTGGTGGGGGCTGGCTTAGCCGTGGGATCTGGCTGGTTGGTTTGCTTGGGGTCTAATGAGCTAGACTTAGGGCACTTGGGAACTCGATCTTGCTCTGATACGAGAGTAATGGAGTTCTTACAGAGACCATACTTCATGTGATTAAAAAGGTGAGACTTCTCATTGCAAGTAAATGGACATTGGAAACATTTATACTTGAAGGGCTTCCCTGGAGGCCTTGGGATGTAATGTGGCTTTTTTGGTTTTCGCTCTTTGAGAAGACTCATTTTCCTTCTTATAGTTCAGATTCTGGTCTTCTAAGTGGTAGAATTGCTGCTGGTTCCTACAGACTTGGTGGTTTTTGGAGAAGTGTGTCCCCGTTTCTCCTTTCCTTCCAGGCACCTGTACTGAACCAGCTCCACGTGCAAGGTGTGTTGTCTGGGTCCGGAGCTGCAACAAGGAGCAGAGTCTCAGGTCAGGGATGATGGTGGAGCTGCCTGATCTCCTGAGAAGATGCACCCGCCTGCTCTCAGGGGCAACTACTGGTCACAGAACAGCCCTGCTCTTTGATAACCGGCTGCCAACCCCCCACCATGCTTTCTGTGTTTTAGAGTCTGACCTGAAAGAATCGCCTAGGGGCCAGCAGGAAGGAAGAGTGTGGTGTATGGAGTGTTTGGTGTCATTTCTGCAAATATCTCTAATCCTTTGAGTTTTGGAAACTTTTGCCCCATAATCTGGACCTTTTCTTGAGAGTGCCCTGCAAGACCTGAGGAGTCTGAGCGCCCTGTCCTTCCAGGGACTCTTGAGGGTCCTGTCTCAGTGCTACTGACTCGTGCTCTCACAGCCATGTGCAGGCTGGGGGATCATGGCATAAAGCAGGACATTGTGGCTGTACCCTTCACTTAAATGCTCCGTGGCAGTTCTGCTGTCTGTAACCGGGCTGCTAAATGTATTCTACATATGAATACTTAAGAATGAAGAACATTTAAACTCGCAACTCTACGCCTACTGCTTTCAGAACCAGAAACGAAAAGTCAAATTTGTCATTAAGTAGCATTTAAATTGTCTCAGATACGAATGTATTTTGAGTTGGAGTCTCTGTCATCAAGGCTGGAGTGCATTGGCACATTAATGGCCACTACAATCTATATCTGCTAGGCTCAGGGGATCCTTCAGCCTCAGCCTTCCGAGTAGCTGGACCACAGCTGGGCACATGCCATCATGCCTGGCTAATTTTTGATTTATTGTAGTGAGGAGGTCTCGCCAAGTTGCCCAGGCTGGTCTTGAACCACTGGGCTCATACAATCTTTTCACCTCTGCCTGCCAAAGTGCTGGGATTACAGGCATGAGCCACTCACTGTGCCTGGTCTGTAAATACTGTTATTTATGTTGACTCAGTGACTTGAAGTACTGTTGAGTTGGGTTTATAAGTCCTGTGAGTAACTGTTCCTGTCCACTGCCTACCCATCAGCATTGTAGAACACACTCTCATGATCACCCTATCTCTACTGGCAAGGAAGTGCAGCCAGCGGCACCTGCCTGTCCTGGGCACCTCCCAAGTGGCAGAACCAAAGTTGTCCAAGTAGGGGACCACATGAGAGGTGGTTGAAAAGGGAGGAAGCTGCCTTGGCCTTCAACCTTTAGGAAGTGGGCCCAGGCCTCTGGCCATAACTATCGCTTAGGTCCTGAGATACACCAGGCTCTGCAAGCGTGTCTGTCCAGAGCTGGCCTGACTTTCTAGGTATTTCCAGAGGGTCTTCTTCTAGCCCTGCCCAGTTCCAGGTTTCCCTTAGGTTGCTCTGCACACCCCTGGGGCTCACTCTGTCTCCTAATTCAAAGCTGAGAACAAAAGTCTAAGAACCTGGGAGGTACTCGAAGGAGCCTAGATGGCAGCTGGTCCTCGAGCAGCCCAAACAGTGACTGTATCTAGAAGAAAGGGTGTGGGTAAGGAGACAGCACAGAGGCACAATGAATCAAGGGTGAACGCTTTAATTTGTGTACAAATTGTAAAAAGGTAAAGGTCTTTAGCTTCTAAATGTTTTCAAAAAGCTTAAAAATGAAGTTAAGCTGGGCTCGGTGGCTCAGCCTGTAATCCCGCGCCTTTGGGAGTCTGAGGTGAGTGAATTGCCTGAGCCCGCGGGTTCGAGACCCGCCTAGGCAGCGAGACCTCATCTCTACAATAAATCAAAAAATCAGCCGGGCGTGGTAGCGCATGCCTGTAATTCCAGCTACTTGGAAGGCTGAGGCGGAAGGATTGCCGGAGCACAGCAGGTCGAGGCTGCGGTGGCCGGGAGCGGCCACTGCACTCCAGTCTGGGTGACAGAGTGAGGCTCCAACTCAAAAAAAAAAAAAAAGTTAAATGGAAATGACTTAAGAAAATGTTTTCAGCTGCAGTTTTGTTTTAAAGAATGGGCAAATGGGCTGGATACTGTGCCTCACACCTATAATTCCAGCATGTTGGGAGGCTGAGGCCCAGCCTGGGCAACATAGCGAGACCCTGCCTCCACAAAAAATCAAAAAGTTAGCTGAGTTGTGGCATACACCTGTAGTCCGAGCTACTCTGGAGGCTAAGGTGGGAGGATCACTTGAGCCTAGGCATTTGAGGCTGTGGTGAGCTGTGATTGTGCCACTTACTCAAGCTTGGACGACGGAGTGAGACACCTAACAGAAAAAAAAAAAAAAAAAGAGGGAAAATGTGCTCACTCCTGAGTCTGTAGGATTTTATATATAAAGCATCACCTTCTAGACATCAGAGTGGTTAAAGTAGTCAACTGAAAAGCAGCCTTTTACAAATAGTGAAATCAATATGGGAAACTTAAGAAACTTGTTTTCTGGATTGCCTGAGCCTGCAGGTTTGAGACCCGCCTGGGCAACTTGGCAAGGCCTCATCTCTACAATAAAATCAGCCGGGCGTGGTAGCTCATGCCTATAATTCCGGCTACTCAGAAGGCTGAGGCGGAAGGATCGCCGGAGCCCAGCAGGTTGAGGCTGCGGTGACTGGGAGCGGCCACTACACTCCAGTCTGGGTGACAGAGTGAGACTCCGACTCAAAAAAAAAAAAAAAAAAAGAAGCTTGTTTTCACAGAATAAAACATCATCAGTCTTGCCTGCATCTCCATCCATCCCACACATCAGAGCTGAGGTCATGGGTAGCTAGCAGCAGGAGTGGAGTCTTGACTTTCACATGGAATCTTAAATTCTGAGAATGCTGTTTGATTTTATTCTTAGCAAGCTAGTTTCTCTACTAACTTATTCATATTTTTTAAAAACACAAAGAACCCACCCCCAAACTGCCTCTGTCTGATCTCCTACCTTCTGCTGTGATGAGGATTTCTGCATAGCAATGATAGTGAAGCACATATTTTAGATGAGAAATAAGAGGTTTGGTTACCCATAACCAGGGCGGGTGTCAGAGTACAGAGCTCTACAGTGAGTCAGGGTTGGCGGCACCCCAGGGCTGGACCCTGCACCCAGCACTCCCTCCCACCATGTGCTGCCACAAAAGCTACGGGGCACTGGGTCAAAGTAGAGCAAATTAAACATGTAATAATAGCTTTGTCTTTCTAATTTCCCCCTCATTAAAATAAAAAATGTGAAATAATTCTTTATGGGTTCATTCCATACCTTGGGGGACTGGTCTGCCCCGGGTGATGAAAGCACAGTTTCCCCGCCTCCCTTCAGGAAGCGAGAGAAGCGGGTGCCTGGTTCCAGCTGAGCGCTGGGCCAGCCAGATAAGTCAGCGGGCCTGTACCAGCATGCCTCGTGATGCTCCCTGATTCTGAAGGCGTGAGAACCTCTGCAAGTCAGGTTCCCATGATTGTATAGGATATGTTATGGCAAAGATCTGAAAACTGATGATTTCATCACTAGCTGGAAGCATCATGATCAAAATGATGACAGTTGCAAAACGTTTATCAAGTGAGAGCTGCATCCTAGCGATACCAAGTGTGGACACAGATACACCACCTCCAGCGTCTAAAACACGAGAACTCAAAGGAACAAAAAATCCCCTTAGGATTTAAGCAAATGAGGAGTTAGTTTTAGAAGCAGTGTCATTTAATATTGCTGATACTTACAGGCAAAAAATAAGTAAGTCTATACTCGTTAAGTTTTCTCAAATGCTTTACAGGAGGCAAGTTTTATGTGAGCTGTCATACTATTATCCACAGGAATAAGCGAAGAAATAATTGCTTTTATGTAAATAAGTACTTTTTTCAGTCAAATGCTGTCTCTGAAGTTTTGAACTATTCATCTCTTTGTTCTTTGGTCATTTAACTTACAAGACAGTGAACAGCCCCCCTCTGGTTTCCTTGATGCAATGTTTTTGGAGGTGAGAGTGTTGTGGGGTTTAATTGCTCCAAGGGAATTTGTGTAAAAACGGAGTCTCAGGGGCAGTAGTTTTAGTAACCTTGGATAAACTGACCTCTCAGGATTACACAATTTGCTAATTAAAACAAGGGTGCGCAGCTGCTTCAGATGTAAGCCGGGCGTAGTTCACTTGATCTATAAAACTGCAATAGTGTCAGAGAAGTAAGTGGGATAAAATTGATGCTTTTGTAAGCTTTCAAATGATGATGTCAGCCTGTGAGTTCTACGTCCTGCCTAAGTGAGGTTTACAAGGATGAAGAAACCAAACCTAACAGCCGGGACCTCAGTCAGTCACATCTGTCTGTGGACAGAAGGTTTGACCTATATCTGGTCTCCATCTGGTCAGTTTCTACCTGCTGGACTTTGTACTCTGGCAGCTGCTGGTGTTAAATATTCCAGAAAGAGTATATTGTTGCCAAAACAACATAATCCAGACCCTTAACTGTTTACAGTAAGTTTGGATTTGCATTCAGAGGTAAAGTTTTTCTGAAAAAATAGTTGGTGATAGGTGGTGTCTGACATACCCTTTTCCTTTAGTTAATACATATTTGAGAACTGTGCATTGAGCTGTTGATAAAGCAGAGTCCCTTTCACTATTTGGCTTGCATTTGAGAACTTCACTGTTAACATTTTAAAAATTGAGATGTTAGCATAATCTTGAAGGAGGATTTCATCCTTCCTCTCATTCCCCATTAGATCCATAGTAGGCATTAGGAGTATGGACACTTCCACACAGCTTCCCGGTCTGGGTTAAAGGTGGCAGTTATTGAAATGCTTTGCTTGGCATCTCTTCTCTGCCAGCCCTTGAGAGGAACTGGTAACGTTCTCCTCTGAGCCCAGCCTGACATGAAGATCTTCCTCTCCAAGTCATTTCAGACCAAGCAGCTGGTGTAGACAGTGTCTACACTAAAGGGCATAA